AGCCTTTTTCAACTTTGTGGATTTATTACTCTTCTCTTCACGTATCTTTGCAGTTGCAGACCTGCCTCATCTTCCTTTTCTATCTTTTGTCTCTTCCTCTTTTATTCTTTTTTATTTATTTATTCTTTTTCATACGTGCCCTCGCGCACTATATACACATATATATTTCTTTATTGGTAAAAAAAAAAAACCGTGAATTTTGTTAGTAGTTAATTAGGCAACTGTTGTTACTGCTATAATATTTTTCTAGCATTTTCTTTGAAGATTTGGACAAATTTTCAATTCTTAAAGTGTAAGGATGAGACCTGACAAACAATCAAAATTTAAAAAATCGATTTATCTCGATGATACTTTTTGAATCAAAATGGGTAAAGCAATATAAGAATTATTGTGAGTGATTTCCAATTGTAATCTTATGGAGAGTAGAAATTGCTTACGCTCATCCACATTAGTTAATTGGTTCAAAAGCTCTCAATTAAGCATGACTAATTGATAATAATTGTCTTTATCAACCAAAGTTTTCAAAGGTCAAAAAGAATATTTTCGTTCTGACTGCACTGTTCTGAAAAAAATTGGGAAAAAAATGAGAGTTTGTTTGACTTTTGAAGTACTAAACCACTGTATATTGAGTGATCAGCCTAACAACCTCTTTTGATGTCACTATTATTGGAGTTGAACTTGTATCAGAAGGTAAATTGAAAAAAAAAATTACCCTTTTTCCATTTCAGTAAACTCCCAATTTCATTTCATACTCGGATTATTCACAACATTAAAACAATTCTAACTTTTCAATTGTCTGCCTGATCAGTTTACTTTCACTTTGATCGGATATGAAATCAAGAAAAGCTTTTCAATTTCTTACATCCATAAATTTTACGGAGCATTGACCCAATTTCTGCATTAAGTTGTGGAACGATGAAACATAATTATGCTTCATTGCATCAAGCAAAAGCCTCACAAAAAAGTCCAACTCATGACTAGCTGTCATAGCATAGCAATGTTGATATGATTATGGAATGCTATTATTTTCCATTCAAGAGTATCTATTTTTGCGTTAAAAAGAAGATTGTTTAAAAGAATGTTATTTCTCTTTCCTATTTGGTGCAAAAAAAAATTATGGTTTTACATAACTTATTCAGCTACGGTTGATTCTAAGATCCTATATATCACTGTTACTCCTACTATTCTTGATATTTGATCAAATCAAACCCTCCACATTATTTTGGTTCAAATAGAACCCTCTACTACCAATTAATGACGGATTTTAAATTTTGTGTTACCGTTACCACCTCTACTTTTGTATGGATAGGATTTAATATAACAAACAAATGTAAAATAATATGAAAATCAATTAAAATGTTTGTAGTTAAAAAATCATTATAAATAAAATAAAATCACTGTCAATAAAAAGTTGTTTTCTTTAATAACAAAATAAAATTTACTTTATTTTTATTTTAATATTAGTTACAGATAAAAAATGTTTTTTTTTGTATTTGTATTTAGGTTTATTATAATAATTCTAGCTATTCACTATAGCCCTTGATTATCATAAATTACTGTATTTTGTTTTGATTGATTGTGCAATAGTTTCATCACTATGGGAAAACTGGTTTTTAGCTACCAAATATAAGGATGAGAGTTATAAACTCGTGGGTGATGGGCATAAATAACCAAGAGTACAATTATGAGTTACTTAAGGTTTTAAACTTGAATCTCTTTACTTGTGAGTTGAGAAAATTGTTATTGTATTACTAGTCTTATCGATAAAAATAAAATCAAAGTGATGTAGATATAATTTATAGCAATGAGATTTTTCTACTAGTCATTGAATGACGAGAATAATGCTTATTATCATCAATGTTAATGACAAAAAAAGTTTATCTTGTCACTGATTATTTACGAAAAAAACTTAAGCAATTAGATTACAAAAAAACATGCTAGTTGTTGAAGTATTTTAGTGATGGATTTAACAACTAGATTACAACAAAAAAATATGCTGGTTGTTGAAGTATTTTAGTGATTGAATTTAAGATTTTTAACTATTAGTATTCTTACGGTTAAAGAGCTTTTTTATGTTATTAATTTCCAACCCTATCCGTACAAGTAGCATCACTTAGTACTCTTTATTTGAGTTAAGCACTTTGTGAACTTGATGAACATCTATAATGAAGGAATTAAAATAGGGTTTAGTTGGTAGCAGAGGGTGCAATTTGAGTCAGAGAAATGTTGAAGGCTTGATATGACCAAGTGTCAGAAGTTGAGAGACTAAAGTTGACTCTTAGCTTTATATTTTAATTCTACTAATACTTGAGTTTAACACATTTGATTTTTGGTTTCTTTTACGAAAAGAAACCCAAGATGCATTTAATAGATGTAGCATATAACACTCATGGCAAATATTTTTTTTGTATTCATAGTGATGGTCATGGACATTTATGAAATAATAAAGAGGAAGGAGGGGGCATGTTGAAAACTTTTTAGACCGTCTACTTTAATTTTCCTTTTGGAGTTGGCAAGTAAGGTGTATTTATGGATGCATCCATCAATGGATGATTATAAGAGTATTTCTTTTTATTCAGAAAAAGGATGTGACACCACCGCATATTTCGGATATGTTTTGGAAGACAGTCCATTCTATACCGTTTATTGCAATATACGATTGAGTTGGAAAAAAAAAAAACAATTTATAAAATTCAGAGAAAGGAAATGGCAGGAAAATAATCAATAGAGGCAGGCTGGCTCCTATAAATGAGGTACAAAACATTAGATGGCCCAGCACTAAAAACTACAGAGAAGGGAATGTGAAGTTTCATTTAATATTGGGATTTATCAAGAAAAATACATTTTTTTTTCCATGATATCTTATGTTTAAAAATTTAAATTAATCTTTTATTGTCTTATCATATCAGGTATACAAGACAGAGATAGTTATCTAGATAGTTTTTTCATATAAAAGGATTGAAATTTAAAAATATTTGTTTAGACGACTGGAGCTTTTTTTCATTTAATTCAATATTATTAGATATAGTTATATTTATTTATATACAAATGATGATTCAGAAATAGAAACAATTATGACCGGAGCGATAATATTATGTAAATATTTTTGGATGATTTATTTCTTCTGTTTATTTATGTAAAATTCGTTTTTTTATTTTTTTGAAAATTAATTGTTATATTCATTTTTTTTTTTGTTTGAAGCAAAAGAAAAGAAAGTTTGTTGAAGAAGCACCATGCTTGTCTCTAGCATGGATACCCACATCCGAAGCATGATACCCCTCTGGAAAGACTTCATGTGACCTCATGTTCCTTATAACCCCTTTTCTCCCACTTTTTATAAACTTCTTCTTAGATCTCTACTCATCATTTCTACATCTTCACTCCGTTTGAATTGAAAAAACCATTCTCTAAGATTATTTAATTAATTTAGCCTTTAGCATCTTTATAAAAAAGTAGTGTTGCTTTATATATAATTGGTTCCTTAATCAGGGAAAAAGTTTCCCCGCACTATACCACATGCCTTTTCAATTCCCTTTCCAACCCAACCAATAATAGAGGAGCCATAATTCACAAAAAAGACTAAATAATTTTCCTGCAAGTAAGGATTGGTATGATCAACCGATGACCCCATTTGTAAGGATCTCCAAACATTTTTCTTCAAGTTATGTAATTGCTAAAGTTGCGTTTTATTTGACTTATTACAACCTCAAAAAGGCCCTCACCTCTTTTCCCATCTAGTTCAAATCTCAATCGATCAATCCATGTATCATGAAATGGGTTGAAGTGTTTGTCACAAAGGCTAATTGATGGAATATCATGAGACAGAAGGGCCCATAACTCTTTTCACTAATGCAAGCCAAACCCCACCTAGCTTTTACACGTATAATAAAAATTGGTGATAATCATGTCATGAAAGGTCAAACTTTAAGCAAACACATAACAACAAATCACTCACAGCTGGGGAGAATTGAGAGCCACCCCCTCTAAAAAAGGATTTTGGTAGCTTCTTGTACTCAAAGCAACTAGACTTTCAAGCACTCTAGCATTTCCTTTTCTTCTCTCCCCTTTTAGTTGAGAATAAAGGGGATCGGTCTTACTTTTTATTTGAGATGAATTCGGTAAGATAAAGCATGCACCAATCAAGCAAAAGATGACCATTGGTTCACCTTTTTGCAAATAGAAAATTTGTAACATCATTTGGAAAAAAAAAACTCTATGAAAAGTTTGAGAGTGATGTTAACTGTTCCATCCAAAAAATAAAATAAAATAAAGTAAATTAAAGGCTAGATCGAATACTCATAGGAGATCAAATCTAGTATTTTATGTGATTTTTTAAGGCCAATATAAAATTAATGGTAAGGAAATTAATTTAATTTAATTTAATTTCTCTCTCGTTTTTAAATTAAGGCAAAGTGTTGGAATTTGAAAATAAATTGTTCAACTTAATTAGTTGTGTAAAGGTGCTTAATATATGCACTGTAAATTTTCCGGATAGATTGATTATTGTGAAATTTGGGTGAATTTTCTTTTTCCTTGAACATTTTATATTTTTAATTTGAAAATTTTAACACATAAGTAAACCCCCCCAATTAATTAATAGTATGGCATGGTTGATAAGGAGGCACCGCCCCATGAAAATGTCGTCCTCCTTTTTTTACTGGGCCATTTAGTTTTATAGAAAGGAACGACAATTGGAAGCTGCCAAATCCCCACCTCAAAAGCTTCATGTGAAATAACATTGCATCTTCTTCCTTTAACTTTTGGGAGTTTAGGGAATCCTTAAGAACTACTAACAAGAGAAAATGCCATATAGAAGAGGCAGAGAGAAAAGCTACTTTTTCTCCACTAATGGTGTGGAAATTTGGCTTTTTAAGCACTAAACTTTACACCCAAGCAATCAACTTTTTCTGTAGAGTAAAAAGATGAGGAGGAAAAAGAAAATTAGAAAAAAGGTTTCTAAGAACGACTGAACCTTTTGGATACACATGTGAAAGAAACACATGCTTACGTAAGACAGAACCTTTCGCCAACAGGAGCATATTGAGGGTCTAATTGGGTTTCAATTAAACCATAAAGTTAGATTTTAAAACTTGTTTTTAAAAGTCAAGACATCCCAACTTTCAAAGGGACCTACCTGATTAGTTTAATTAATCTTGTCACAAACTAACGGATAACAAAAACCTACAGTAATTACTAGTGGTAATTAAATAAGTGATTATCAAACCTTGTTTCAGCATGCATGTTATAACCTTTAATGAATCATTGGGGAAAGATTTTAAAATTCTCTTACTCCATATATATTATTATTTGGGTTAGTTGAAAATTTGGCAAAATAAAAAAATCACTTCTGTTTCTCCCCCCCCCCCCCCCCAAAAAAAAAAAAAAAAAAAAAAAATTGGTGAACACAGACGTAAAATAAAAGCATGCTTATCTGAATCTTTTCAGCTAAATGAGTAGTGATACCATAAAATCGATCATTGCCGTTCACCAAATGTATGTGTGAGGCCTTTGTCATAAAAAAAAGCCTTAAACCTCGATACAAAGTACATCCCAGTATCGCACTTCCAACTACAACCATAAATGCCACGATACGCATATTGTATCATCACTCATGCTCATGAAGATTCACGAAATTAAAATTGTTAGGTGGCAGATTCAATGCCAAGGGTCCTAGAGAAGACAAAGAAAGCACTTTTAGATGTAGTGCTCATCCTTTTAATAAATGTTGAGCACCAAAACTTCTCTCATCTACTATATATTCTATATCATTCTATGTATATTTTAATTATTTTCATCTGCACACATACACACATATATATATTACGGCTATTAACAATTTAAAAATTCTTGCGCTCTTTAGTATACTTAATTCAAACAAAAGATGGTATTCTTTAACTTGTATCTTTAAAAAAAGGGACTTCCGTCCTAGTCCTAGCATTCTGGCAAGACTTTGCCGACCAATAACAAATAACGTACGAGTGGATATGGAAAGTTGACATAAAACGTTCACATTTCATAAGGTAGTGAAATTAACAAATTAAGGCCATATATGACACGAACTTCTATTTTATGTATAAGGTTAATCCCTGGATATATATAGCGATTTTGTTAAAGAGTAAATCGCATAGTAGAATATATCATTTGTCAAGGGCGGAATTAGAAATTTTTTAATGGATGAAAGTTTTCATAATATATATATATATAACTTGAAAACAAATTAATAGAGAGAATATGTTTTAAGGACCGAATTTTCTTTGTTTGTTTTTTTTTTTTGGTGGGGGGCAATGCGTAAACTATTATTAAGAAATTAAATATTTAAGGACCAAATTAAAAGATTTATTCAGCTCTCCGCTTAGCACTCAGCTTTTAGTGATGAGTATTTTTACTGAGAATCAATAGTTGTTCTCCCTTAAGGAAGTGCCAAAGGGAAATATTATAGAGGAGAGGAAAGATGCAGTTGTTCAGCTAATGGTCTCTCAGGCCTCTGTTGATCGGACGTCTACTAGGCTCAACACAACCTAAAAACACATGGAATCTCTTAATTCAAGCACGAGTGATTGCTGGGTCAAGCTTGGGTAGACGTAGCAGAAGATTACAAGAAGTCAAAGGATTTCAAACACGAGCTGGTGGAGTTATGCCCAAGGTCTTAAATGAGTTATGCCGAGCGTACGAGATATGCTCAAAGAACTTCTTCGATGCTGATTGCTCGATCATATCTAGTGCTCTTCCCAGTGGTATTGATTTCAATCTCGAGATATCCACCATCAAGCAGAAAGAGGCTGCTGGGGAGGATGAAGGTTTGAGTGAAGGGGATGATCAGCAATGGCGGAGCTTGAATTAATTTTGGACCAACAATAATAGCTACTTAGCTACTATATATATATATATTAAAAATAAATTCATAAATTATGTCATTAATATCACATATATTTATCAAAGTAACGGTCGACGCTAACCTAAAACATTAAATTCATTAACAATGAAATTTGAATAAAAAGTTCAGCAATCTCTTTCTCAATATAAACAACTAAATTATCCGCAAGAAATTGATCTTCCATCTTATTGCGGAACCTTGTTTTAACCAATTTCCTAACGGAAAATGCTCGATTCATAGTAGTTGTAGAGATAGGAAGAGTCAACACAAGACGAAACAATCTATCAAGCAAATAAAATGTCTCCGATTTTTCTATTTCCACTAATGCTCGACAAAGTTCGGACATTGTTCAAAGATTCTTTAATTTCGGATGATGAGGTGAGTCAAGAATATAATGTTGTAGTTGAAATCTCAAAACAATTTTTTCATACCGTGTAAAATTCATAGGATAGTATTTTTTTCACAAGACCGCAAATATCGTCAATATTAAATGCTTTATAAGCATTTTTTAGGAACCAAAGCTGAACTAAGAGTTAAAAGCTCTATTGCTTCCTCACTAAAACGATGATTCAACTCTTGTAATTGCTTGTCTACTGTAAGCGAGAAAAATATCCACTTGATATTAGTGCTCAACCGTGATTTGGTCTTGGTTGTCCTTTGCTCGACCTCGACGTGCTATATAAGAAGCACTAAAGTCCGGAATCTCAATGTGGTATTTTTTGACAAAATAATTTGACATTTTCAAGCAAAATATCCCGACCATTCTCGCTTAATTGTTGAACTAATTAATTTGTAGTTGCCACTAATTTTACAAGTATTGAGAATGTCTTGAGATTTTTTTTCGTAGACGATAACAAAGCATATTTGTGATTCCCATAATCTTTTTCACTAAGTGTAATATAAACACAAGTTGAAAAGAAGTCATATAGTTATAAACGAGTATCAACATCTTCACATTGAAAATAAATGTATCCTTTTTCACTAAAATTTTAAAGAACAGAGGAAGTTGCACCAAATATTTCAACAAAATTGCACACGAAATAAAAAAAGAGAACTCCAACTAGTATATCCAACGTTTTTTCAAAGTGCTACTTTGATTAGCCCCTTTACCAATCTCTAATTCATAAATCTCCAACAAATGTGTAAGTTCAGCAATTTTAGCATCCTTTAGTTGCTTATGTCGTTTACAAGAATCACATATGATATTGATTATGAAAGACATACCCGAAAAAAATTGATGAATTGAAATAACTTCTCTAGAGGTAGCTACTAATGTAAGTTGTAACCTATTAGAAATGATACAAATGATTAGAATTTAATAAAATAAATTAAAGACAATAATAACTTATTGGTTTCTAACTCGTGAGTAAAGCAATTGATATAATATGCATGTGGACAATCCTTAAGAAATAATGCTTGCAACCCATTCCATTCTCCACTCATATTGCTAGCTCCATCATATCCTTGACCATGTATATTTCGAATGTTAAGACCATATTGAGAAAAAAATATTGCACAACTCTTGTTTAAGAGTTAATGCTATAGTATCTTAAACATGAATTAGTTTAAAAAATTGTTGAATAAATCCATCATTACCAACAAACCTTAAAACTAAAGCCATTTGCTCTCGTTTGGACTTATCACGTGCTTCATCCACTAAAATACAAAATTTAGAATCCCTAATCTCTTTACGAATCTCATTTGGATTTGAGGTGAAGTATAACGAGCATTAAATGGAGCATTTTCTAAAACAACTTCTCCAATGTCACTATTATATATTGACAACAACTTTATCATTTCAAGAAAAATTTCTTGATTTTTAGAACTTGATGACTCATTATGTCCTCTTAATGCACAAGTTTGGAAAGTCAACCACCGAATAGTATCAATGGTGGTTTTAAGACACAATTTATTTTTTAATTTTTTCTTTAAGGTTCGAACATGTATAATATTTTGAATATGTCCAGATTGATTTTTAAGAGATTCACAACATTGCATTGCATTGTGATGTGGTGAACAAGGACTCTTTTCAATGTGATTAAGAAATGCATATTTCTTTTCATCTCTAATTTTTTCCAATTATGAAATCCTTTAATAGTAGACACATCCGATCTAGGTCGGCCACTTAGTGCTTTGCCAAAAAGATAGCATGGCAAGCAATATGCAACATCTTTTATTATAGAGTATTCTAACTATGAATGAAAAATAGTTAACCAAGAAGCAAAAAAAATCTACAAGGATGTTTTTCCGAACCAAAGAGAGGATAACTTTCAAGATGCTATTGATATGGTCTATTTCTTAAATACCATCTTTTGATTTTATCTCTTTGATTAACCAGGTATTCCCAAATTAGAGGACGTAATCCAGGATCACATTCCAAGCTATTAACATCAATTTCTTCATATTCTAAACCATTAGCATTAATTTCTTCATGTTTCAAGCCACATGCATCAATTTCATGTTGCAAACTACAAGCACCAACTTCTTCATTTTTTAAAGCATTAATATCATCAAATTCTTCATTCTCTACACCACTATAATCAACTTCTTTAGATTCAAATCTTGGATACATAGAAGGCTTCTCTTGAGGAAAATTTTCAATTTGTCTACTTTCATAATTACAATTAAGTCTTCTCTTGAAAAATAAATCAATTGTCTTTAACTTCTTCATAATGAATTGATAAATTCCTAAAACAAGCAAACAAATTATTAAATTGATGCAAATAAACTCAATTTTTATCTTTAATATTATTTTCATAAGAATGTCTAGTTTTTACTAACCAATTTAAATATTAGAATTTACCCATTTTCATTTTATGCATAAAAAATAATTTATTATAATTAACCTCTTATTAGAAGATAATAAATCATCATACAAGTAAAAAATAACATAATCTTGGTATTAATTAAAATCCTAAAATATACACATTAAACTATAAAAATTATATGCATCAAAATGTAATTTATTGTGTTTAGTCACTTACTCATAGTCTACAGGAGGCAAATTTCAATGTTTACTATTTTCTTGTCTTTCTTAGGAGGCAAATCAAACCATCGTCAATGACAAATAACCAATATTCCGGTATTGTACATCTTATAAATGATAAGTCAATATTTGATAAGGAAACAACATAGATTATGACTTCGAATGCCCATAAGAATCCTAAGACCATTCACATATTCCAAAAGAGAAATTGGTAATAATTAATAAATGTGGCTTGAAACAACTAGGTGAAGTGTTACACAAAACAAGCTGAAAAAACATTAACACAAACATTAGAAATCACTACGGTTATTCATTGAGATAGTTAAGAAAGTCAAGAGCCAAATGGCATACCTTTTAAAAAGAGATTGTTAGTGTATGCCCTCGAAGCCAATCATAGTTTGATTGTACTAGTATATACTTGTTATATGTGTGTGTGTGTGTGTGTGTGAGGTATTTTATTTATTATGTTTATTTATTTCTCTGTTTTATTAAATGAATATGATAAAGTCCTAAGAATACCAATATTCTTGAATGTCCTCATTCAAGTGACCAATATTCTTGAATGTCCCCAATCAAGTATTTTATTGTAGATATATTAAAGGGGTAACAAGAAAGCATAGAGGATGGTATGTCTATTAAATGATAACAAAGTGTTATGGATATGAGGTATCAAGTTTACACATAGGTACATGTGGGAGAACATGTACTCGGATCGACCCATCATGAAATCACTATGTGGATCATTATACGATTGTCATAAGTTGGTTTCATTATGATTGTGGTGTATATGGTCCTATGACTTAAAGTCACCACGGTTCCCTAAATCAATAATTGTATATTTTGGTACCATTAAACATCGTCTATAGCAGGATGGACTATAAAATTGGTTATTGGATATACCATGAATCATGCGAGAGGGATGTAAATGATGTAGATAAGATTTATCCCTCCTATATAACGGGAGTGACGTCTATGGGCCTCTTATTAAGTAAGATTATGAAATACATGGCTATGCTCAAATGAATCACTATGAGATATCGATCTTATTTGATAAGAACAGTTAACTCATAGATCAAGAAACGCTAAGCTTAAACTATATAAGGATGACATATACCATGTCTCATGATTAATCTAGACATCTAGGACAAAGAGACTAGACTATATGGTAACATATGTCACGGACAAGGTTATGTCGAATCATCGTCTTTCTTATTATTTGAGTAGTAGTGATGCATTGCTAAATGCCGCTCACTATTTGTGATTCTAAATTATGATTTTAAGATTACTATCAACGTAATAAGAACCTATAGGGTCACACACAAAGAGCAACTCGAAATTGGCGTATGACCGTAAGTCCTAATTGGATTAGGATTCCTAGTCGAGTTAAAATTCCTAATTAGGTTAAGATTCCTAATTGGATTAGAATTCTTAGTCGAGTTAAGACTCTTAATTGGATTAGGATTCCGAGTGAGACTAGGATACATTCTAGATTATAATATTTAATTATACTAATGGGCTAGTTTGATTAAGATATATAAAATGGGCTTAATAAAGTCCAAGTCTAAGGTCATTGGATATTAATATGTCAAAATAATCAGCCTATGTTTAAGTCCATGTTTTATTTTCTCTTTCCTTAGGGTTAGGAAATTAGTTTCCTAATGGAACTTTGCATCACACACGTTCTGGTTGTTATGAAATACAACTAACATGTAACATTTATAAAAGAGTAACAATAAGACAAAAACTTTATTAACTATAAAGACATAAAACCTAAGGTGTCGTTTGGTAATTAGAAATGGAGTAGTGGGAATGGAAATGAAAGTTTTATTCTCATGTTGTAGTTGTTTGGTTCAAAGGAATGAAGTGAGAATAAAAATAAAAATTTACACACAACTTCATTCTCATATAAGATGTGAGAATAAAAAAGGAATGAAACTAAATTTTGTTTTCAAAATAATAATATATTTTATTTATTTATTGT